CCCTTTCCGCGGCTAATGATAGATGTGCACATGAGTGAGTTATTGTTGTGATTAGGAGATGAGACATGATGATGATTGATTTATATTCATACTGCGACCATACCATATTAAAATGTATTATTTATATGCATAGTGGTGAGCACGCTTTTCATCTAGTGCTCATCCCCACCTGCTCTTTACCGATGCAGGTTAAGCAGGAGCTGGGTGACGAGAAGAGGCGAGTGGGTCGGTCATTTTTATTTACCGCTTCCGTATGAATAAATAAGGCATTATGAACCTTTATGTTGAGACTTGATTATGCTATTTTTCAGAACTTATGACTTGCTTGATTTTCAGAAATTTGTGGAACCCGGATTGTTGGGTATTATGGTAAATTATATATTCACGTTGAGAATTACGTCTCGTGAAATGTTTCGGTTAATGAAAACCGTTTGTGAAAACCGGGTAATGAATCCCCGTGAGCCCAGATAAGACTTGGATTATGAAAAATGTTGTGTAACACCCATTGAATTTTCGAAAATGATTTTGAAAATTTTACACTGATTTTTTAGAAAGTCTGAAATTTCTTTAAAATCAAAGTGGGGTGTTACAGCCTATGGGACTCTTATGCTCGGCCTTGACTTGCTGACAGGTTAAACATCTTCTTACAAAATCGGCAATGTCTTTCTTCAATCCTTTCCACCAAAACGACCCTTTCAGGTCATGGTACATCTTTGTACTTCCTGGATGGGCTAGATAGAGTGCGGTATGAGCCTCAGATAGAATTTCCTTTCTCAATGCTTCGACTTTAGGCACCACAATCCTGCCACGAAACTCCAAGGCCCCATCAGTGCCTCGGTGAAATCCCTCGACGCCTCCGGCACAAACCTTGGCATCAATCGTACAAATAAACTCATCTGAAGCCTGCTCTTGCCGGATTCTCTCCCTCAGTGTCGGCTGAACCTGCATGGAATTCACACTCCCCGTATTGGCAGTAGGAAGTGCATCAATCACCTGAATCCGCATCCGGACGAACTCCTGAATCAACTAGCTCTGCTGGGTAACAACGTATGTCAAGTCGCCCTTCACCTTGCGGCTTAGGGCATCAGCAACAACATTTGCCTTTCTCAGATGGAACTGGATCGTGCAATCGTAATCCTTGACGAGTTCTAACCAACGGCGCCTACCTCATATTGAGCTCCTTCTGAGTAAAGATATACTGCAAGCTCTTATGATCAGTAAAGATTTTGCATTGACCGCCGTATAGATAGTGTCGCCAAATCTTGAGGGCATGAACAACTGCAGCTAACTCCAAGTCGTGCGTCGGATAGTTCTGTTCATGTGTTTTAAGCTGGTGTGACGCATAAGCAATGACCTGGCCATCTTGCATAAGTACACATCCCAAACCCTGCCTCGAACCATCACTATAGATGGTGAAGCTCCGAGAAGGATCTGGAATAGTCAACACCGGTACCATCGTAAGTCTCCTTTTCAGCTCCTGAAAACTCGACTCACAACGGTCTGTCCACTCGAACTTTACAGACTTCCTCGTCAGCTGAGAGAAAGGGAGTGCAATCTTCGAGAACCCCTCGATAAATCGACGATAATAACCTGCAAGGCCGAGGAAACAATGAACCTCAGACGGATTCTTTGGTGCTGACCAATTCTGGACTGCAGCAATTTTGGAAGGATCAACTTCAATACCTGCTGAAGTAATAATGTGGCCAAGAAAAGCCACTCACTGAAGCCAAAATTCGCACTTGGAGAATTTTGCATATAACTTCTCGCGTTTAAGGGTCGAAAGAACGGCCCTCAGGTGCTCCTCGTGCTCCTTCTGGCTCTTGGAATAAATAAGAATATCATCGATGAAGACAATAACGAACTGGTTGAGAAAAGGATGAAATACACGGTTCATCAAGTCCATGAATACTGCCGGGGCATTACTGAGGCCAAACGGCATAACCACAAACTCGAAGTGACCGTATCTCATACGAAAAGCTGTCTTGGGTATGTCTGACTCCTTGATTTTCAACTGATGGTAGCCTGAACGCAAATCAATCTTGGAAAACATGCAGGCACCCCTCAACTGATCAAATAAATCAACAATATTGGGAAGCGGATATTTATTTTTTATCATCAACCGGTTAAAATCCCGGTAGTCGATACACATTCGCATGGATCCGTCCTTCTTCTTGACAAAAAGGACTGGTGCTCCCCAAGGAGAAACGCTCGGTCGTATAAAACTAAGATTCAGCAACTCTTGGATTTGGGTCTTTAATTCCTGCAACTCTTTAGGCGCCATTCTGTACGGTGCCTTTGAAATGGGTCTGGCTCCAAGAATAAGATCAATAGAAAATTCCACCTGTCGGCTAGGTGGACCTCCGGGAAGCTGGTCTAGAAACACGTCCATGAACTCACGAACGATAGGAATATCATGAGGTGAACGTGCCTTTGACTCATCTCCAACGAGGCTTACAAGATAACCCTGGCAATTACCCCGTCAAAGAATCTTTTTGGCTTTCGCCATAGAAATAACATGTGGTAGAGTATGAGTCCTGGAGCCGTAATAAGTGATCTGATCATCTCCCAGAAGATAAAGAGTAATCTCCCGGTCGTAACATCGAATATCTGCGTAAAATCGAGTTAGCCAATCCATACCGAGTATGAGGTCAAAATCCCTCATCTCGATAACATAAGTATCAGTAATCAGAATACAGCCGCCGATGGAAAGGCTAAGATCAGTGGCTCTAGCGTCAGTCACTATCTTTCTTCCCGAGGCTAAACTCATCTCGAGAGGATCGACAGCGGTAGTGGAACGAACCCCGATAGCTTCGAGACATCGACGTGATATAAAAGATTGGGTCGCTCCAGTATCAAATAAGGCATAGACAGGCACATCATTAAGAATAATCATCCCAGACATGGTACCTGGGTGCTGGTCGGCCTCCCTCTGGTCAACTGCAAAAATGCGAGCCTGCTGTCTGCCGCGTTGCTGTTGCTGTGGTCGTGGTGGTTGCTGCCTGGGCTGCTGTTGTTGAAGTTGCTGTTATTGAGGTTGCTGTGGCGGTTGACGTTGTTGCGGTTGTTGTTGTAGTTGTTCTGGACAGTTGTTGCTGAAGTGACCTGGCTGGCGGCAAAAGAAACAAACATTCTGGCCCACGAGGCATTCTCCACGGTGGTGTTTCCCGCAGGTTGGGCTTTCTGGATATTGTCTGGGACGGGTCCTCCAGTTGTCTGAGCCCCCTCTGAGCTTCCTCTTCTTCTGGTTTGTTGATGGTTGGGTTACTTTAGGCTGGGCTGGTGGCTGAGCAACTGGCTGGGCTGGTGTCTGGGTGGCTTCTCGTCGGATACTAGCATCAACTTCCTGTGCAATGGCAACTGCGCGGGCGTAGGTCTTGACGCTGTGGCCTACGGTGTTGTGGCGGACTGCTGGGCGAAGTCCGTCAGTGAAACGGTGGGCTCTCTTTGCCTCCGTACTCACAAGATCAGGTACAAAGGCTCCGAGACGGGTGAACTCTCTTTCGTACTTGTCGACAGTACGAGTACCCTGAGTGAGTGCCAAGAACTGGCGCTCCATGTCTACTCGGTAATACGAGGGATAATACTTTTCTCGGATCAGCTCCTTGAACTGGTCCCACGTACAACCGTCTTTTTCACCGGGACACATACTCCAAAAGGCTTGCCACCAGAGTCTGGCATCACCGGTCAGCTGGATCTGGGCACATAACATGCGATAACGATCGGGGCAGTTCATGACCTCGAAAATAATCTCGAGACCCTAAACACATTCATCCACTACACGAGGATATCCTTGGCCGGAAAACTTTTTTGGATGGTAGTCACGAAACAAAGTGACCACTGTGGCCTGTGGGAGTTCCTGGTGATCTGGCTCTCTACGAGGAGGCATCTGAACATTAAAATATTTAACATGATTAAATAACAACATAAGAAATTAACCGACTGATTACTTAAATACACAGATCTCTTGACGAGTCGCTATATAACCCGAGAATACTAAAGTCGAACTATCAAATAACTGGGGCAATCGACTAAGTTCGAAACATACTCGAGCATCTTACTGATTTCTAGGGTCAAGTATCTGATACCCTCTCACTGAGCATATACTTAAGTATTCGTTTAAATATATATAAACTGTAACTCAGCACTTACTTGGTAGTCGGCGAGGCGTGAGCGTAGCGTGGTCGGGTCTTTCTGAAAATTTCTGACTTTAAAAGTATTCAGATACACCAGAATGTGCTCTGATACCAATTTGTAACACCCTGCTAGCTTACTAAAATCAGAGTGCGATTTTCGCAAATCTTTTTCTAAAGTTTACGTTTTATTTTGCAAAACATATATCGGGATGCTACATAAAATATTCCTTTTCTAAAAATCCGTTAACCATAAACCCATTTATGAAAAACGGATTATCATTATAAAACAATCGTGTGATACTTATAAAACTAGACCCGAAGCACGGATCGTCGTCTGAAAATTTACACGCTAGTTTGAAAGTCTGAAAACGTCAGCGGAAGTAAAATGTGGCAAATATATACATATCTACAATCTGCAAAAATATATACATATTTACATGTACTGGACCGGCGACCACCAGCTTCACTCACTCCTCCGGACCGACACCGTCACCTGAAAAGGTCATAATAGTGGGAGCGTGAGTACTAAAACACTGTACTCCGCAGAAACTCATACTAAAGTAAACATTAATGATAATATCAATATCATGACTGCAGGTATATATAAATAAACTGAAATCTGTAACTCCAGACACGAGGTCTGTACTGAACTGGCCATGTGCACACTCTGATGGACAATTAAGGCTACAGCGCCTCCACCAGAACTCTGGATGGCCAATTAAGGCTATTGCGCCTCCACCCAAAGTGGAATAACTGATATACATACCTTAAAACATGATAGAGCAATTATAACTAAAGTAATACCCAGTCTGAGTTCCCACCTGTACTGATAATGTAAGTGCTGCTGCTGATCACTCTATAAAAATTATATAAATAAACAAATACTAAGTACTACGCTCAGACTGACTGAAAATAACTGTTAAGATGCTCGACTTGATCTAAATATTTAACTGGAATATTCTCGGGACTAAACTTGACTGATAAGAAAAACTGGACCGAACTGATACCGGTGTACTGGACTGGCTGGACTGAAAAACTAACTGAAATACTGTACTGGACTCGAACCGGATCAGTAAATACTGAACAACTAAAAAACCGGTCTAAACCGGCCGGTTCATTTTCTGGCCGGACCGCCGGCTCACTGCGGCCGGGCGGTCGGCTGCTGGCTGACCACCG